CGAAATGAAACAAACTGAGAGCGGCGGCGCTCTGAGAAACAGCACGAAGCGCTGACACAATATTATTAACTTCTAGTTTATCGTGCTTTAGTTTTATTTGACTTTTTTTTTTACACCAGTAAAGGTACCTAATGTTACCTGTCTGGCTAACTAACTTGATAATGTGGCTGTGCACATATGGTCAGTTGCTAGGTAACAGACATAACAGTTGATTGTCAACTTCAATTGAGCAAGTTACGATTTCCTAACTTGAGAAACTTAAGAAAAGATGCTAAATTAAGATCAGATTTGCTTCTGTAATACGAATTTGTGAAAAATTTTATGTAGATCTGTCAGATCTTAAGAAAAAAGATACGAATTTTCTGCAATACGCCCCCAGATCTTCTTGTGGAGGCTGTGTGTGTGACATTAATAGGTAAAGATGAATTAGGTGGTCTGAAAAACTCCTATGAAATCTGACTCAACACCTTTTAAATGAGCATTTCAGGCTTTACAGATTGACTTGCACACCAAAAGCATGTTTTATTTCTTCCTGACTCATTAAGTTTATCAAAAAAATCTTAAAGTGAAACTATGTAAATCAGCTTGGCGAGGCCAACTTACTGTCCCTTCATCTTATCGTTATGCCTATTATTATTCTATGCTCAAAACGTGTGACTGTTCTACAACCTATAGATTTTACCTTTCTTTAATATGACTCCTGGTCTGGTCTGCTGGTGCGTTTGAATTACTCCAAACTGTTCTCAGATCTCTGAAGTACTGAATATCATGCTTACATATCATGTATTGTGAAAACATAAAATCCTGTGCCGGATAAATTTTTGCCATATTGCCCATTTAGTTGAAAATCTCCAAACTGTGCTGGACTCAGGCCCTCTAGGTCAGAGAGTGACCCTCTTCTGAAGTAAATGGTGTTGTGTGAAGGAAAAGCACATTGCTTTTGGGATTAGTAAAAGAGCAGCAGTTAAACTAATCACATGCTCTTAGTTTCAGTCACAGGTCGACTCCGAAAACACCACAAAACACTGTCCAGTTCTTGATCAGGGGCTGCATTACAGAAACTAACTTTTTGTCTTAAGTTAAGATCTGACTGGTCAAGACAAGATGCATCACAAATTCATATTACAGAAGCAAATCTGATCTTAATTTAGGAATCTTATCTTACAGCATCTCATCTTATCTCAGGTTAAGAAATCTTAACTCACTCGATTGAAGTTGACGATCAACTGTCATGTCTGTTACCTAGCAACTGATATGCATACAGCTGAAATGTAAACACATAATCAAGTTAGTTAGCTAGACAGTTAGTGGTCAAATAAAACTAAAGCACAATAAACTGAAAGTTCAGAACATTGTTCCTGTTTATCAGAGCGTCGCCGCTCTCAGTTTCAGTCTCATTTCCCAAACACTTTAGCCGTCTGCGCTAACAATATTCCTCCTAATAATAGAATAGAAACAGACAGGTTAAAACAGAAGGCAAGAAGCGTTTGGGTTTTATCTTAAAGTCAGGACAGCATTTAGGAGATTTAGTCTAGTTCGGATGTTTCTGTAAAACTGTTTTCTTATCCGGAGTTAATGGATAAGATTATTAACTTAAGAACTGTTGTTCTATAATAGCTTCTGCCCTAAATTCAGTCCTAACTAAAAGTTGCCATGGTGACTAAGAAGAAAGATAAGATTTTAGACTTAAGAAGGTTCTGTAATACGGCCCCAGAAAAACTGCATGACTGAATGAATAGCGAGCCTCAAATCACTAAACGGTCTGTCATCATAAATGCCACTATCAGTGCATTCAATGCAAACCTTTTATAAAGTGCCTGAAGTGACCGCCCAACATGAAAGGTAGCTAAATGGCTATATTGTAAAATTAAACCATTAATGTCCATAAAGTCTTCATTTATTCTAATTACCCTTTGGTTCACATGTTCTTTGAGTTTACCTGAGCACAAAGATTTTCCCCCTGAAAAATCAAACCACATGGCTAAAAAGTTAATTCATTACATTAACTCTAGGCTTGGTCTCATAAGGTTACTGATTTTTAAGAAAACAATATAAAATCCAAATTTCGGATGTTTATCCATAAGATATAACTACACATAACACCAATAACAACAAATAATGGAGCCCGTTGTCTTATTATACTATATTTAGCTGTTGGTTTAAACTAGTGTTCATTTCTTCTGCTGTGAGCACAAATATCAGTCTACAAGTTCTGAACCACAGCTACTACACTACATCTGGAGGTAATAACAACTACGTAGTGAAACACATTTGCAGTGACATTAGATAACAAACAGCTAGCTAAGTTGAACAATAAGACGTTTAGCCCATTTTAGCCCACTGTGGACTTAAACATGTATTCTATACCACTTATCTCAACGACAGACTCAAGCTTCAAAAGTCTTCATAAATCTTCACTTTACAAAAATAATTTCCATTCTAGGGCTTCAAAGGTTAGTCAAAGTCTACGCTGATTATATCTTTTGCGTCACAGGAAGAATTTATTGCAGCACAGAGATACAAACTCAAAGGCAAGACCCACAAAAGTCACAGTGTGGTGCAATGCCTGGTTCTGCACAGAGGTGATGGCATTTCACAGAAGAACGACGAACAAACCCAAAACCATCCAAGTTCTAAAGCATTCATCTCCTCTCGCTGGCAGTGGGTGAGTGCTTGTAACTGACAAGCCAAAGCGCCTAACATCAGCTCAGTAAAGGTACATCCTGGCTGATTTAGGAGATGAACATTTCAGTAATATTAAGGTTAGTGTAGTAAAATTAATGCCACACTGACGGGAGCTATTCAATAATGAAATGTTCCAGGCTAATGCCATCCGGACGTGCCAGCTGAGATGATGCTGAACCTGGTTTAGGATGCTTTTGGGATGATGTAGCATGCGCTTAATATCCGTAAAATATGTTTAATGCAGAAATCTTAAGCCAATAATGTATGAGATGTTGCCTGGGCAGACAGACCCCACTCAGAATCATATAAACCATGACAAAAATAGAGATAAATGTGTGCCAAAATCAAGAGAACAGGAAAGGTGAAAAATACAAATAGGCAGTAAACAATAAATGAATAAGTTTTTCATTTATTTTATCAACCGTTTGGAGACTTTAGGAAATAACCAAATGCTTTATTTATTATAATTTTTTTTAACCACTGTAATTTCTACACTTTCAATCATGCTTTTGGTTCAGCACCAGTTTTAAATTTTATGAGAAATAAATGTATCAGTAATGCAAACAAAAGCTGTTTTATACTTAGGATGCTGAGTTTTGAATTTAGGGTTCATGTCAATTTCTTACATTTATTTATGACCAAAAAATGAACACAATCACTACAGTAATTGAATAATTGAAGATAAATGTAATTAGATTTACTGATTACACACATAACCATTAGTAGCGATCTGTACATTCCTAAAAAAGGTGGTTCTTTAAGGGTTCTTCAGTAAAGAATATGGTGACAGAATATCTAATGCTTAATTGGTTCTTCAGATTGATGGAGTTGTATACGGTTCCATATTGCACCAAAAATGGTTCTGCTATCGTTACAAGCTTTACATTGCAACAATAGTAGAACCCTTTTAGTGCTACACAGAACCGTTTTCAAAAAGGTTTGAATATACAATACCATGTACAACACATCAACTACCCAATACTGAACTCTGACATTCTCAGGGACTGTTACGCACCCATCACTGTAACTGCTCCATAAGCTCATTCTAATTGCTCTACTGTTTATAACTGGACTATTTATACCCACAGACCTTAATCTGTATGTGCCTTATGTCACGTTATTGTTAATTTCAGGGACCTTCTTATATTTATATTATTTTTTTATTGTTTTATTTTTCCACAATTAGTGTTTATTTAGTGTCTATTTAATTCACACATTTCCTGTTTACCGTCTATTTAATGCTACTGCTACACCATGGGGTCTGAGAGTAACGCAATTTCAATACTCTGTATGTCCTGTAACGTTACATATTGTAGTACTGACAATAAAGCTGACTTGACTTGACTTTACTTGACATCCTCCATCAGTCTGACGAGCCATTTCGCCATGCAAAAATCCATTTAAGCAGGAAATTGTTCTATGTAGAGCTCATGGTTCTAAACGGAACCATTCCCTTTGCTAAAGAACCCTTGAAGAACCATCTGTTTTAGGAGTGTAGTCCATAGTATAGACGCCTTGCCACCAAATCAGGGAGTGTTTCGTTTACTTTTACGGGTAAATGAAACACTCCCTGATATGGGTTATGATATTTGTTTGGTTCTTGTGTTTATTCACAGAGAGAAGCGGGTCGCTACATGTTGGTCACGATACACAGAGCGTTTCAGTCAGTACAGATACAAAACACAACAACAACAATAAAACCGTTGATCCTCCTCTGCACTTTTGGGCTTAAGACGAACCGAGCGACCATTTTTACTATAAACAGAGTGAAACGTCCACAGTTTAGTATCACTGAGGGATGAAAACACTGCCAAAGTCTCTAAACTGGTTCACTAAACCGCAGAAAAACTGAATTCATGTCTTGTAGCGACCAAATCTCTCAGAAATGTTGGGTAAACGCGCTAATCGCCAAACACCCATCCGCTCGGTAGCTAACCAAGTTAACAGTAGCCGGTTACTTTTGCTAAGCTAATTAGCGTTAGCCAACACTGCTCTCTAAATATTAACCTGAACAACCAAGTTAAACTGTCGCTATTTGATCTACAACATCAGCGATCAGCAAGAAGTCCCAAAAAAGTGCACAAGATGTCATAAACTACCCAGCTTAACGTTACTCAAACAGCAACGAACGAAAACTTTGGCATTAGCTGGCTGGCTAACATGCTAACTTGTTGCTCATGGAGGCCTCTGGAAGTTTGGGCGTTGTTTTCGGAAGCGCTTCTTCTAACTAGCGAGTAACTTCCAAAACACGGATTCACATTATGCACGAATTAACCGCTTAAAGCGGCCCACAGGTGTTCTAAAAAGACACTTACATGATTGCAGGTGTGCTGTTTTGTAGAGGACCCGCCGCTGTTTAAACTCCGTACTGATAGTAAGGCTAACTGCAGCTCTAGCAGTCTGTACGGAGTTAGCGCTACTGTCCCACAGCACGGCCGCTTAAAGGGCCAGTATCCGCCCGGCCTGTTGAATTTTCCCGTAAAGGGGAACTCCGCTGCTTTTCGAAAATTCAGCGTAAATCAATCATAGTACAATCATAGTTTAAGTCATTCAGAGTTGTTTGATGCGAAATGGTGCATTAGACTTACTGACTCAGATTTCTTACAATGGTGTCAATGGGAACCAGAGGTTGTGATATATATATATATACCGATCAGGCCATTTTATCAGCTCCACTAACTATATAGACTGTAGTCCATCTGTTTCTCTGCATACTTTGTTAGCCCCCTTTTACCCTCTTCTTCAGTGGTCAGTCACCTCACAGAGCAGGTACTTTTTGGGTGGCGGATCATTCTCAGCACTGCAGTAACACTGACGTGCTGGTGGTGTGTTAGTGTGTGTTGCGCTGATATGAGTGGATCAGACACAGCAGTGCTGCTGGAGTTTTTAAACACTGTGTCCACTCACTGTCCACTCTATTAGACTCTCCTACCTTGTCAGTCCACCTTGTAGATGTAAAGTCAGAGACGATAGCTCATCTGCTGCTGCACAGTTTTGGTTGGTCATCCTCTAGACCTTCATCAGTGGTCACAGGACGCTGGTCACAGGACGCTGGTCACAGGACGCTGCCCACAGGACGCTGTTGGCTGGTTATTTTTGGTTGGTGGACTATTCTCAGTCCAGCGGTGACACTGAGGTATTTAAAAACTCCAGCAGCACTGCTGTGTCTGATCCACTCAGACCAGCGCAACACACACTAACACACCACCACCACGTCAGTGTTACTGCAGTGCTGAGAATGATCCAGCACCCAAATAGTACTTGCTCTGTGAGGATCCATGGGGGTCCTGCCCACTGAAGAACAGGGTAAAAGGGGGCTAACAAAGTATGCAGAGAAACAGATGGACTACAGTCTGTAACTGTAGAACTACAAAGTGCACCTATATAGTAAGTGGAGCTGATAAAATGGACAATGAGCGTAGAAACAAGGAGGTGCTCATAATGTTATGCCTGATCGTTGTATATAGCCGTTTTATCTACTATCAAAAATGACCAGTGCTCCTACTCATGACTTTTGAGTATTTAGGTAATGTTAATAATGGCAAAATAGTGCTAAATCGTAATTATTGTAGCGTTCACTGCTATTAAAAGAGGCACAGCTTTCACACAAGTTATGGTGCTTTATTTTCAAGCTGCTGTTGGCCACAGCCAGACCGTACAAGCTTTTCTCTCTCTAACAGCTTGTTTACTGCGCAGCTCACATCTCTTCGTCTCTTATGCTCATTGGAAAGCTGTATATACCACATGGTTAACTAGTTAACACGACTTGGCTCCGTTCGGGTGTTTGTTCATAGACACGCCCACTACACAGAAAAAGAAAGCATGGAGGTCCGGATAATACAATCCTCTACTAGAAGCGCATCAGGGGCTGTATTACAGAAATTTACCTAGCAACCAACCAGACGCGCACAGCTGAAACGTAAACACATAATCAGAATAATCAAGTTAGCCAGACAGCTAAGGTCAAACAAAAGTGACGCGTGATAAAACTGAAGAATATTGCGACAGCGCTTCCTGCTGTTTATCAGAGCATCGCTACTCTGCAGTTTCAGTTTCCATTTCCCCAAATGCTTTCACGTTATTGCTTGTAATAAACATAAGACACGTTCATTATTACAACTCATTATTCACCATCATCACTGTAATATTTTATCTCATCAGTTTTCATCAACAATAACACACGAGGGTAATAAGAGGGGCCGGTGCAGATCGTGTCTGCAGAGTCTGGGGTTTTTAAAATGCTGTTCATTAAAAAAAACCTACAGTCGAAGCACTTTTTTCAGTGTAGATGAATGTAACGTCATTACGCCAGTTATATTAACCTGTGCTGCCTGACACTGCAGAAAACAACAGAAGCAGATGGTTAAAACAGACGTTTAGACACCTCTGAAGTTTAGACACCTCTGACGTTTAGTGAAATATCATACACCATTTTATTTCCCCTAAGAACTGAATTTGAGTGTTGCATGAAGTTTCTTAATTATCAGCCCCAATTGAAATAAAACAACTTAAACTGATTCCAGTTACATTTCTCACATGTAAGGTAATGAAATAAGTGTGCTAGACAAAACATCTTAAGTGTTAAAACATTTTAAATACAAGCGTTTTATCATAGTTTTCTCTCAACAGACCCTAGTTAGTGTAAGGTTGGGCTGTTGCTATGGAGACAGCTTGCTGATATTGTTAATATTTGCTATTAAGATATATTAACAAAATAAAACTAAATAAATATGTAATTTATTCAGAATTTCTCAACGTGGGAGGTTATCATCATCATACTATCTGTCATCCTCATGGAAAACCAAGTTCTGTTGTTAGCAGGTTTTACTAAAGCACAAGTTTAACCACTGAAGATGATGGCAAAACAGTTTTTTAGTGTATCTCACTTAAGTTGAAACTTTGAGGGTTTCTTGTTTCATGCGACCAGACGCAGCTGCTCTGATTCTGATCAGTTGTTGTAAAGGGGAATACCAGTCCAGGCCATGACACCAGCTTCATCTTTTCACATCCTGTTTTCATGTCTTCATAACACTTCAGGTAGTGGACTGTATGCTTTTATTGGACAGAGCAGTACAGACAGTGCATGTTATTATATGTAGGCATGAACGGAAATATATCGTCATTATCATTATAGCACACAATTTCCTGAGGAATAAACTATGGCCACTAAGTACTGAGATAGTAGACGGCATGTAAACAATACAAGTTTGTTCTTAATGGATTTTGAACTTCAGATGAAAAAAACTTTCTAAATTCAGATCATTCTGGCGACAAAGGAAGATGTTTTATTATTGATTTTATTTCACTATTTTACTGCACTACAATGAGTCTGAATTAACTAATGCGCATCTACATCTAGCTGAAAAATATAGTTAATAAAAAAATTGCACAGAAGCCTCAACAGTTAAATAGGATTTAAAGGTTTTCAGTATTTAGTGTGTCCATATTTTGCCTTTATTACAGCTTCCATTTTTTACTGCACCTCCAGAAGAAGCTGGTTTCACAATTCAGCTAATCCCAAACACAGTCAGTGATGTTGTGGTCTGGACTCTGGGGTGGTCAGTCCACCAGCAGCTCTTTTGTTTGGTTTGCAGATTTCCTTTTCTAAGTAAGAGCTTCTTGACAGCTACACATCCTTTCAGACCCGTAGTGCTGAATTGTCTTCTCACAGTTCTCCTCTCTCTCAAAGATGAGAGCTTTAAGTGCTGTTTATCTGATGGGGGCAGTTTTGGTGCATACCAGGTCTTGCAGGCAGACCAGGTATGGGCATGGTTGTAACACCACCAATTCCACCAGTCAGGGATTAGATAGGATTCATATGATCATTTCAGTTTTCTCCACCCTGATCTCACATGGAGGTTGTCAAGGCTGGAAACATACAGATTCTACAGAGAATAAATGGATTTTGAGGTTTGTTTTTTTTTGTCCAACACTAAATTTTGTTTAGTACTTATATCACAGATAAAACCATATGACTTATATTGGATTCAACTAGAGTTTCTCAGGCAAAATATGATGCATTTTTCCTGCTAATTTCAAACCACTATGCTAATACAGCTAGCTAAACAATGGCTGACAGGGGTGGGGTGGGTTGTAACATATCTTTGAAACTACATACAATTTGGAACATTTTATTGATTTTATTAATTTTATAGAATGCTTAGTCAGAAAGACTGACAGAGGAAAGACTGACAGAGGAAAGACTGACAGAGGTGTTCCTGCCATTGTTTTACAAATGCAAATGATGGAGTCACAAAGAAGGGCAAGTAAGTCAGACCAGAAAGGCAAGTCAGGGATCTGCCATGTGACACTGAGCAGATGCTGCAAATCACTGCAGAAGCCAAAAGACCTGGGGTCCAGTGATCTTCCCAGTGTAGGTTACCAGAGCAACAACACACTTTTCTCTGAGATGCCGAAGGAAGTGTTGACTGACTATTTGACTCAGGCAGCAGACCTGTATTATTATTAACCCTAACCCTAACCACACATGATGTAAGCATATGACAGATCAGTCACTGGAGAGTGGAGTAAAACTGAATACTAGCACAGCTGCCAGACAAACTGAAAAACTGTATGTATCTATGTACTCAGGTTTTTTGCTCCACTTACTTTTAGATCAGAAAATTTGCATATCAAGTGGCAGTAATATATAACATGAAACAACCACAGACATGGGATGAAAAGCTCTGTTCTGGGATGTTATGTTATTTCAGTAAAGCTCTTTTTGAAGTATATTGCATGGTGTGGTCTGTTTTTGCCTCTTTTGTCTAATTGTTACAACTTACCCCAGCATGTGTTACAACCATCCCCTGGTAGTGGGGTAGGTTGTAACAAAGGATCACCACGTCTTTGACATCAACTCATGATGTCTGTGATATCCTAACTGAGGTTGGAATTGCAGCCATCAGTAGTAAACAAGTATGGGTACTTTGTATAAAAGCTCAAAAATTCAGTGAGTTAAAGGAGCTGAAGCCAAAGGTGTTGCTACCATACCTGGTCTCCCCTATAGCTCCACTCAGAGGCCATTGAGCAGTTGTTGAATTCTGTCGTTAGATGTTTAGGACAAATGTCTATGATATTTGATTATTTCAAAAGGTAAATATATTGGTAAATTACACTCTAAATATGTTTCATTTGCTCTGTCAGAGGGAGGACTAGGTTTCAGAGAAATTTGTATTAGTATTGTAACATTGACCTGTCCAGGGTGTTTCCTGCCTTTCGCCCAATGACCGCTGGGATGGGCTCCAGCTCTCCCCTCAACCCAGAAGGATAAGCAGCTTAGAAAGTGCATGTGTGTGTGTATTGTAACTCTTACAGCTAGTAAAGGAGACACACAGCTTATGCACGTCCTTGTAGTGGGCCAAAGCCACACCGTACAATAAGCAAGGCTTTAGGCTAACAGCCGGCTCTGCTCTCAGCTCACATCTGCACTTTTTGCTTCCAGCTCTTGACTGACCCAGTTCTACAGGCATGACCACAGCCAGCGGCTAGTCCAGCCCTTCAGAATAAGAGTCCTCAGCAAAATAAACTCAGAGAGAACAATAGCCCAAGATAAGCATGCACAACACCTCTTGAACACGCTACACTATGTTACCAGACTCTGCCTGATCTTGAATTGAACCCTGGGACGTGAAAGTAGTCTTGCAGTCTTTAGTTGGATAAAACTTTATGAGAGAATAGCTTTAGTAAGATTTTCTCTTCTGTTAGTTTCAACCCGTATGGTTAGAGTTCAACAGTCATTTTGAATTTGCATCTTATTGTCACGTTTCATTTATGCAAATAAAATTCAGCAACTACCCAATGGCTTTTATCATTAGTGAGAGTCAAGTTAATGGGTTTGCTGTTCTTTTCTTAATGAAAGATGTTAAAGTCATGGTAACTGATGGCACGCTACTAGGGATGCATTGATACTGACACCGATAAAGGGTATCAGCCCAATACTGCACTCCTTTACTCGTACATGACCTCATAAAAATTCAGATACCAGCATTCATCATTACCTGATACTATGTGACTTAACCCTAGTGTTCACTGCTATGCTAATCAACAAGCAGCTTAAGCTGGCAGTGAACGAGGGTCTGATCAACAGAGAAGTGTTTCTACTCTGTGTCAGGTGGACACAAAGTCGTCCATCACTTTAAACATTCCTTGACGGCCTGTTTTTACACACACATGATCATAATCACAACGCCTTCCCCGATACAGGTGGAGACACACAGGCTAACAAAATGGAGACAAAAAAGGTTGACACTTGCTACCAAAGTCCGTATGTACTGACTTTACTCTGTTTGACTGAGTACAATTATGAGGTATATTTATCCAGGACATTCAACTACAGTTCAACCAGCCAAAACGTCCCAAACAAGACGTAAAACATTACAAGTGAGCTCTGCTGATGCATTAACCTCAGGTGTGATTCCTGCTGTCACTGTGCTACAGAGACTGTTTGGAAGAGGCAGCAGAGATCAAAACTATGACACATACTTACAGCTGTATAGAAGTGCTTTTCTGACATGGAACAAAGCCTGCTCTTCTCCACTGCAGCGCCACTCGATGCAAGGTAAGTAATGTAGCATAGCTAGCTAATGCACATCATTTGACTCAGCTAGATTTAAACAGTTTATCTGTTAAGGTGCATGGCACTTACTTCCACCAACTGCTATTACTATTGAATTCTAACTAGGTTACTTAGTATGGTATCAGACTTGGTATCAGCAAGTACTTAAAAACATGTATTTGTACTTCTACTGGGCCTGAAAAAGTGGTATTGGTAAAATGGTATCACTATACGATACAGATACAATGGATACAGATTAAGTTGAAAAACGATGGAATATCCTCATGATCTTGATGATGTCAGCCCTTTAGCCGAACCACGCCATCATTTATAAGACCCACAATAGTTCAGTTGGTTTCTGAGCAGTAGTTTCTGGCTAGTGACAGTGCCAGAAGTCGGAGAATAAATCGACACAGGGCCCGGGTATCAGTATTTCCTTATTTAATTATCAATATTTCTAATGTGAATTAAGCCCATTGTCAGTCTACTAGATTAACAAAGGCTTTCTTCACACAGCAGGGAAAAGTGGCCCAAATCCGATCTTTTTCCTCATATGTGACAGATGTGTTCTCCATGTGTACATGTGAACAGATAAACACACTGAATCTGACATTTTCAATTTCGATTTGAGACTCTTTCATATGTGGTAATGAAATCCGATACATATCCGATGTGCGGCAATGTGACTCAGTCTGAACAGCCAGATCGGAATTCATGCCACTTTTACATCAATCCAACTCGACATTCGTCATAATTTCGCGCTGCTGAGACCTCGTAAACATTTGGACATGAACCAAAGAAGTGACTCCCCCTTTTTTACGGTGAGCTCAAACACATTCTGGGTCATGAGCCCAGCTGTCAATCAGTAAAGCTGATGGCTCCTTTTATGCTGGCATAGATGAAACTGAAAGCTCTAGGATCGACTGGTGTTCGTTTATAGTCATGATTGTTTACCTCTGGATGAGCTGCGTGCAGCAACGTGAGGCACTGTTCTTTTGTGCATGTGGGTCAGTTTAGGAGCTGATCTGTTCAGACTGATGTCACATACAGATCACACTTAAAAGCTACTGTGAATAGCCAAACAAAAAATCGGATTTGTTGGGAAAATCTGATTTGGTCCACTTTTAAATGCTGTGTGAACGTGGCCAAAGTGCATTTCTGTTGTAATCCACAATGTTTCTTTCTGGCTTCTGTCAGTTGAGTTATTGTTAGGAACGGTCAGATGGCACTGTGGACAACACTTGACAACATTGAAACAGTGCGGTTTAATCCTCCATTCAGACAGGAACCAGAAACACCACTATAACATACCAATTACTGCTCAATCATTTGGTGGTTCAAGTATCGTGATGATATCGTGATGTAACTGTCCATAAATGAGGCTGAACAACTGGACACTGGGCAAAGTAACTTGATGTTAATTTCCAGGGATTTTTACTCCCCTTTAATCTGAACAGATCCAGTAAAAAAACAGGTATAAGACATGTCCAAGAATCGATTTGACATCCCAAATTTCCATAAGCTAAAAATTCATTTCAGTATAATTACCAGATGAACAAAACCAACCAACAGAGAAATGACATGTGAAAAAAGAGCACTTTTTCATTTTCAGATTTTATTTTACAGCAGAAATTATATAAAGCATTCAGAAAACATTTTCCATATTTTAAGGGCAATTCAAAATGTTTTGCATGGCTTCAGCAGCTGAATATTTTTTTTTAAACATATCCAACATTTCAGTGATGCTCTTACATGCACAATTACAGAAAAAAATAAATCTCACAAGGAGGACAGAGAGAAAGAGAGAGAGAGAGAGAGAGAGAAGAGAGAGAGAGAGCTCAGGAAAAACAGAATGTGAGGAAAACTCATTGGAGAAAGAAGGGAAGGATACAAAGCAGGGAATGAGAGAGAAAGAGGGGGAATAATTGAGAGAAAGAGAGAGAGAGGGGGAAAGAGAGGTCTAATACTAGATTTACATGCAGAGTGTTGATTGCCCACTGCCCTGTAAGAAAGATGGGCTTCTATTTTTAGCTATTTTTTTTTCTTAGCGTCATTTGAAAATGATGAAAACGTGCATTAGGGTGGGGGAGTATGAAATCACTGTCCATAGATCACTGAATGCCTGACTTTCTGTACCATTAATTGCATAAAAGGACGTGAACTAAGCATGTCTTTCATTCTTTTTTTTTCTTTTTTAATTAACTTTCCCGCGT